CATCTCCATTATAATCTTACTAGAACCGTGGTCGGCAAACTGTGGCTCGCGAGCCACATGCGGCTCCTTGGCCCCTTGAGTGTGGCTCTTCCACAAAATACCACATGCGGGCGTGCGTACAGTGCTACGCGATTGAAACTTCGTGGCCCATGTGCAGAAGTCGGTTTCCGGCCTGGGCGAGTCTATTTTGAAGAAGTACTGTTGATATTTGGCTCTTTTGACTAATGAGTTTGCCGACCACTGTACTAGAGGCCCAGTGCATGAAAATTTGTGCACTCTGGGGGGGGGGCGGTCCCTCAGCCCAGCCTGCGCCTTCTCACAGTCTGGGACCCCTCGAGGGATGTCTGACTGATGACTGATGGCTCCGTGGGGGATTGGGCCTAAGCTGGCAGTCAGACATCCCTCTGGCAGCCCGGGAGCCCTCAGGGATGTCCAACTAATGGCATAAGCACTTAGCGCTGCACCACCACTGCACTGGCCAGCCACGAGCCAGCTTCTGGCTGAGTAGCACTCCCCCTGTGGAAGCACATTGACCACCAGGGGGCAGCTCCTGTGTTGAGTGTCTGACCCCTGGTGGTCAGTTTGCATCATAGCAACTGGTCGTTTCCAGTTGTTCCACCCTTAGGGTCAATTTGCATATTACCCTTTATTATATAGGATGGGACCCCTGTTGTATATGCCTGCAGTCCATTGTTGACCAAAATGTCATTATGCAGCAGATGACTGTATATGTGTCAGACTTTATCAACTGTGCACTGTCATGTTGTTAAAAATAATTTTTATTGATTCGAGGGGAAGGGAGAATGGAGAGAGAAACATCAATGATTAGAATTATTGATTAGCTGCCTCCTGCATGCCTCATATTGGGGATTGAGCTCACAACCCGGGCATGTGACCTGGCCAAGGATAGAACCGTGACCTCCTGGTTCATAGGTTGACACTCAACCACTGAGTCACGCTGGCCGGGCTAAATTGTCCACTTCAAGTAAGTGCAGTTCACAATATATCAATTATATTTCATTGAAAATTTTGTTAAAATTTAAGTTTAGATATGTCATTTTTTTGTGATTTCCTACTCTAATTATTTGATCAACCAACTATATTAGTCTGCTCAGGCTGCCATAACAAAACACCACCGATTGAGTGGCTAAAACAGAAATGTATTTTCTCATATTTCTGGAAGCTGGAAGTCCAAGATCAAGGTAACAGCAAGGTTGGTTTCTGGTGAGAACTTTCTACATCGGCCTGCAGATGGGTAGGTTTTTTTCCCACTGTATCCTCCAGTGACCTTTCTTTTCTCTGGGTGTGCATGGAGAAAAAAATTGCTTGTATCTCTTCATTTTCTTATAGAAACATGAGAAATACTGGGTTAGGGTCCCACACTTATGACCTCTTTTAACCTTCATTACCTCCTTCAAGCCCTTCTCTCCAAATAGTTACATTGGGGGTTAGAGCTTCAAGATATGAATTTGGCAGGGAATACAATGAGTCCATAACAGGAACAAACTACAGGTCCTAATTGTGTAAAATAAGAGGGCTTTTACCCAACTTATTCACTGACCCCTAATACTTTTAGCATCTACTGTTTCAACAGCATCCTAGTGTCACCTGTGCTCTTGGAGGGATCACATCTGCTCTTCTCTACCCAGAGTATTCCAGTAACTATCCTAAAAGTAATTAAATCGATACCAAATGAAAGTAAATGAGCATTCCTTCCATCTCACATCCATTATCCATTTTCTTAAGGGTAGGACTATTTTATTGTAAATTCACTTACACGACAACATTACTCAGAACTCTCTTTGGTAGACTTCTGTCTGTAGTTTGTTCTGATTTTTAATTGCTCATTAATTATAAGCACAATGAATAACAACCATTACTAATTATAATAAACAGGTAATCACTCAAACAAATGTACAAATTTTTTATTTAGAATTAGAGACTCAAATACAAATTAAATAAGTACAATATATGAAGCCTTCATAAAAACACGACAACATTACTCAGAACTCTCTTTGGTAGACTTCTGTCTGTAGTTTGTTCTGATTTTTAATTGCTCATTAATTATAAGCACAATGAATAACAACCATTACTAATTATAATAAACAGGTAATCACTCAAACAAATGTACAAATTTTTTATTTAGAATTAGAGACTCAAATACAAATTAAATAAGTACAATATATGAAGCCTTCATAAAAACAGACCAAACCCCTTCAACTCATCTACTATTTCTACAACAAAATTAAAACCTAAAAAGAGTCCAAAATCCAAGTATTTTTAAATTATTATTTTCAACATTAAATTACAAAACACTCAAAGAAATTTAATTAGAAAATGAACACAGCTACTGCAGAGGTAATCCTGCTAGCTATTCACTAAAATGAATTAAGAAATTAAAATTTAGTATGATTTCTATTCACCAATAAAACACCCCATTTAAAAAAGATAATTATTTCTCTCCAGACTGAGGTCTACTTTACTTGACTTTTAAAACAAAATCAATCTATCTATCTATCATCTATCTACCTATCTATCTATCTATCATCTATCTATCATCTATCTATCTATCTATCTATCTATCTATCTATCTATCTATCATCTATCTTATTGATTTCAGAGAGAAAGGGAGAGTGCAAGAGATAGAAACATCAATGATGAGGATCATTGATTGGCTACCTCCTGCAAGCCCTACACTGGGGATAGAGCCTGCAACCTGGGCATGTGCCTGACCAGAAATCGAACTGTGATCTCCTGGTTCAGAAGTCGATGCTCAATCACGGAGCCATGCCGGCTGGGCTGTTTGACTTTTAATTTTAATATGGCACAATAAATTTGATCAGCAAAAGTAGTATCACTAAAAATGTTTACAATGTTCTTTAGACTCTTTCTGCTTTACTTCATGAATGAGAGGGGTCATATATTTAAAAGTTAAAACATTACAATATAATAGATACCTCGTAATAAGGTGCATGGCAAAATAAAAATATACATTAAACAATAAAATCTTTTTATTTAATTTATGAACAGAAAATTGATCAGACACATTTTATGTCTTCCCTTTCTTCTAGGTCTTAATTCTCCAGAAAAAAAAATGTCCTATTATTGTTATAAATCCAATTCTAAGAATTTGCATCAAAAAAAGGCAGCAAGGGAGATAGTATAATTTTTATGTCCATATTGTTTTTGAATATATTTATAAAAATGGAACTAGACTTGTCTTGAGAAAACCAAAACATAGACTATTATGGTGTTTGTATATTTAAAATAATCCAAAACAAAAGAAAAATCTACACTCAAAGAAGGAATCCTCATCATTCAAAAATATAATTATTTGCATCTATACAAATAATTATGAGGTTTTACTAGAACATAAACATCTGAGCCTTAAACTTACAAAACCAAATTATATCATACTAGAGGCCCGATGCACAAAATTCGTGCAAGAGTAGGCCTTCCTTCCCCTGGCTGCGGGCACCGGCTTTCCTCTGGCACCCAGGACCCTGGCTTCCCTCCAGGAACCCAACTTCCCTCGCAGCCCTGGCTTCATCCGGAAGGTTGTCCAGAATGATGTCTGGAAGGACGTCCAGTCTAATTAGCATATTATGCTCTTATTATTATAGATATGGATCAACTATTATAATTGGAGCTTTCTGCACACCAGGAGAGTTAAAACTTTAGCATCTGTTGTTCTGTAAAACTGAAGATGAAAATATAATCAAACTCAGCATTTCACTAGAAAATTTTATGTCTCAGAAACTTGTTATACTTGTCATCAAATAAATGGACTCCAAGATTCAGCTATTCTTTAAAATGTTTTGTTTCTACTATTGCTCTTTAAAAACTATTTAATCAAATTAAATTTCTTAGAGAAAATTTACTCAGGGTTCTGAATGAATTGTGTTTTAAAAAAACTTTGCCTTGAGGGGTAGAGTTCTAGCTCTCAGAAATTTTTGTTCTCTTTCAAAGAGAATGGAAAATATGTGAGATTTTCTTACTGACTCACTAAATATAAAGATTAATAGTGTATAATAAACTTTGGAACACAATTTTTAAGTTTTCAGTTTATTTACTACTAACTGGCTATAACATCACACAAGTTATTTAACCTCTCTGTGCCTTAATTTCATCTTTACCAAAGACATTAGGATGGATAATCTCTAAGGTTCCTTCCAATTCTCACATGGTATGGTTTTGTGCTTCTGCAGAGGTATCTACTTAATACATTGACTTTTCCATAAATCAAGAGAACTAATATGAACTAAAATAACACAGCTGAATTAAATTTCTCCTATAAGAAAAAACACAAAGACTGTGTTAAAGGTCAACTTCCCAAACTCTATTAGACCCATTCCCTCTCTGGTCAGACCAATGAACAGCCCACAGAACTAAAAACCAAATATTTTAGTTAAATAAATAATTTTAAATTACATTGTAAGCCTATTAAATATTTTAAATATATTAACTCTATGCCAGTTTTCTAATTTACATTATTTTCATTCTATCTACATTCAAGATAATCTGTAAAGTTAATGTAGGGGGCTACTTAATATTCTTGCACTTCAAAACACTAGTCAAGTTAAATCAGTGGTTCCCAACCTTTTTTGGTCATGCCCCCCGGCTCCCCACCCACACACCTAAGCATCTCTAAAATCCTGATTCCCCCCACCCCCCATGACACATAATTCTTATTATTCAAAACGTGAACTCCTATTCACATGGAGGAAGCCTAAAAGGCCATTAACTTGGTCTAAACCAGCTTCTAAAGAACATGGCTTCCATGAAAAAGAAAAAGAAAAAAAGAAAAAGGACAGTTGAAGTACTGAGGAAGAAATCACTAAGAAATTGTTTAAAAAAATGATAATATGAAGTGATATGAAAAGATAGCAAAGTTTCAAAACATAATAGAGAATTGAAATGCATAAATATGTCACAATATATATTTATATACTGTATATGAGGCCCCTAGAACCATGAGAAATGCAAAAAATTCACTGTTAATAATTCATTCTTGAATTGCCCCCTTGTGGTTAAATAGGAGTTAAATATAATGAAGAGCAGGATATTAATCACATATGCTATCAATTTTAAATATATTTTTATTGATTTCAGAGAAGAAGGGAGAGGAAGAGAGATAGAAACATCAATGATGAGAGAGAATCATTGATTCGCTGCCTCCTGTGTACCCTCTTCTAGGGATCGAGCCTGCAACCCAGGCACGTGTCCTGACTGGGAATCGAACAGTGACCTTTTGGTTCATAGGCCCATACTCAACCACTGAGAATACTGGCTAGGCTATTCTGTCAATTTTAAAATAAAAGTACGCTGAATACTATTTATATGCTAGAAAAATAAAGGAAAGGTAAAAAAGGAAATCTTACTGACAAATGCTCATGCTCAAATGAATATAGTTGTGTTTTGCCATTTCTTAAAAAAAGAGAAGAGGGACAAGATGTCGGCAGTAACCTTAACCTACTTAAGCAATACTGAACCAGGACATTTCAGGAGCTTTAGTGAGAAATTAATGAATCATGAAGCAGCATTTTTTGGAACTAGTGCAGTGCAATTTGATTTTTCTTTGTCTAACAATGGGCAGCAATGAGGCACTTAACTGTAAAATAGAAAAATAGGGACTATTTAAGAAGAAATTAAAAATCATTCATAAAATTAGCATTATTCAAAAAGCAAAAAATTCTATTTTTATTTAACATGCTTTCAACATTACACAAGCTTCACTAGGAAAAATACTTTTGAACATAAGACTGCTGTTCAGTTTATAAGAGACAGGAAATAATTCCTTTTCAAGAGATTTTGGATTTCTGAGAATGAAATTCAAGTCTTCTTAACCTGAGTGCTACATATTTATAAACCGAGAAAAATACATCTTACCCATACTGGAGAAATGTTTCTAACTATCAGCAAAGAATAACATGTGATCCCTGACCTTATTCTTGAAGGATCAGAAGTTTTTATTATATATAACTTTAAAGAAGGGGACCCACGACTGTCACAGAATAAATAGGTATTTAGCACCTAAATTTAGAGAATAAGTATTGCCTTCATTTCAAATAGTTGTATGTCCACAGATTGGGAAAAATCAGATATGAATTGTTTAATTGTATTAGAACATTCTCAAAGATTAAAATACCAAAAAATTATCCTTGATTTGCATATCCATGTACTTGTAATATTCAAACACAATATTATCACTTCTTCCCAGAGTTACAGATATATATTCTTTTTAACAAGCAAAAATAAGTGAGGTTTATTCTTTTTATTCACTGTTAAACTGTCTTGCAAATGTGGCACCTTTTTCAGAGATTTAGATAGAAAATATTTCTTAAAAAAAAAGTCACCATATTCTACCACCAGTATCATTTTAAATGTTCTTCATTAAGACACAGAAATCAAATGTGAACTAAATGACACAGATCTTCTGCTGAAATACAAATGCAAATATAAAGCAGTATACAAGATGAACAGACATGAATTTCTGGCAATATATTGGCACACACATACTTATCTGTGAGGTAAAAAAAAGGACTAAATGAGAAGGTAACAAATGTTTGTCATGACATTTTTCCAAATGAATAAAGCTTAGTGTATTTGCTTTCTTCGTATCTGAGAGAAATATTCTTATATTGCCTCTTTAAATAAGCTTGATTTTAATTTTGGATGGAACATTTGGCTTCATATGTTAAAACTGATACATGATATAAACTAAAGTTTTCCATGAGACAATTTAATCATCCCTACTGAAAAATTCTATAATCTTACCTTCTTCCCCTATTTGCCTATAAGAAAGTTTTCCTTGACTCATAAGGGAGGAAAAAAGGCTTAAAACACAAGGTCTTCCCCGAAGGAGGCTGGCAAATTTCAATACTTCACAATCCTCATATATGTTGTTTACCTTTATTTTAACTAATTGCATTCTTAACCACACAATTAATTTCCTCACACAGAGGAGTCAAATTCTCTCATTTATATCTTTAAGGTAAATTTTTCTATCTTACTTAAGATATTCTAATTTATTTTTGAAAGCAAATGAATACATAAAAAAGCAGAAACACTACTGATGCAATCAGTTAAGAAATAAAGTGCCTATAGCTTCCAATATAAATATTGCTTGATACATTACAGCTAAGTAAAAAAGGCTAACCCAGTCGATATGAAGATTGACTTCAGTATCTAGAATATGGAAAATATGAGACAAGAATATACATTCTATATAAATAATAACAAAAGTGAGGGTATATTCAAATTCCCCTTCAAAAAAAAGAAAGAAAAGATACTGAAAATATTCCTAAGAAAAATTAAGTGGATTCTGCTTCCAAAGCACCCAGGGATGCTACACAGTAATACCAACATGCAACACCTGAAATGCAGAATCACACTCTGACTGCTGCCCTTCAACTTCTGCATTTAATTTACAATCCTCTGGTGTCTGGCTGATTTCATCTTGCAAAGCAGGAGATGTGACATGAGTACCATCTACAGAAGCATTGTCAGACAAGGCATCTAACTTTTCAGGGGATTGAGCTATGTGGAGCGTACTATCTCCTGCCCCTTCAGCAAAATTTGTCCTCTCCTCTGAGTCTTCCAGCTGTTGAACTGAAGTTAAATACTGTTCAAGCAGATTATTATCCTGCTCACTGCTTGAGCTTTCCTTACTCCACTCACCATGTTCTTCACTAATGTCCGCTACACCTGACCTTCTGCGATGCCTGACTGTGTCAGTGGAATTCCCTATTATCGAACTTTCAGTGCTTTCTCCGGAACTTTTTTCAAAATCCAAAGAATCCTGCAAACAGTGAACTTCTGTTAGGGAGGAATGAAAACCAGAGTCTGGAAATTCCGGCAAGGATTTCTTTTGAGGAGCTTCATCAGGAGCAACAAACCAGTCCAAATTTTGATCAGAAGAGGGCTCCTGGCTTTGGGGGAATAATGCAGGTTCAGATGGCACCAGAGTAGCTGATATAGGAGGAGCATCGGTATGCCAGGAACTTAGACGCTGGTCCACAGTCTGTTGCCAAGCTTGCAGAGACCTTACCTATGAACCAAAGGATGTAGTTTTATTATAAAATAAAAGTCATGCCTATTTTATAATTGTCCTTTGAACTTTATTCCCAACACACATTAAGTTGGTAAATGGAGGCAGCAAAACTGGAGCTAGAAGCATCCTGACTTCCCTTACCCTTTTCAAAGCACCTCTCATCTAAACCAGGCTGGCACAATGGTACACGTCCTTGGCCCAAAGCAATTCTCTTGCTTTTACTGGAAAAACAATCAGAAGTACAACAGCACATGTCTAGCTGACTAAGGGGTCAATATGTACTCAATATACGCTGAGGTCCACATAATTAGACAGATTAGAGTCTACTAATATAAGTAGGCTCTCTAATATAAGTAGAGTTTCATTTTAGATATCCATTTGGAATAAGAGTTTAAATATTATCTAACAATATTGTATATACAACTAAAAAATACTCCCAAACACCCTGAGTTCTTGGTAATATGACCTTTACATTTTTCAAGTACCATGAAGATGTCAAAATTTTACTATAACATCTACAACAAAAAAAAGGTAATATGTAGAATTTTTTAGTTTCCCTTTGACTATCCTCCAAGGTAATCACTGACAGCGGTTTGATATTTATCCTTCCAGACATTTTACTATATATATTCAAATACAAGTGAGTTTTAAAAATCAAGTAGAGCATCAAGTTCTGCAATTTGCTGTGTTTCACTGAGCAGCGTTATCTTGGAGATTTTTCCATGTCAGTCCAGTTATTTTTAACTATTCCATAGCATCCCACAGTATCGTTATTATAAAATTTAGTTAAGCACACCCCTAGTAACAGTAATTATAAAACCTTAAAAAGGTTTTTTTGAATTTTACAGTATTAAGACCCTATTACAAGAAATTCTTATATAAAAATATTTCCAAGGAATTATCTTAAAAAGTACTTGATGGAATATAATTATAGTAAAATCAACTGTCTGCACTGTCCCTAAAGTGTGCTATTATAAGATTCAAACTTTCTCTCCTAAGAAGTCATGTATAGTTTTAGGACATGCATATTGTAACTATCAAAAATCATGTTAGTCACTTTTCATTCAAATATTACCAAAGGATAAGACAAGATAATTACATAAACCTTCAATACATAGGTTTTTATACCTATGTATTGAAAAGTTATAACAACATTCCTCAATTTAGTCACTTGCTTCATCTTTATACTTCTTTATCTTCCTGTTCAAAATTATAATAATATTTTTCAGATTAAGTAAAATGTAACAAAGATCACTTCCTAGTTCCAAGTTAGTGGCAAAGAGTACAAATTATATCCTTGACCTCGGGGAAGGGTGCTTAGTATGCCTAACTGCTCTATGATCACCTAATTAATACACAACTTTTCTTGGTTCACACATTAGGTAAATCAGCAGGAAGGAGTTTACCTGGTTCCAAAGGAATTTGACAGCCTCTTCTTGTACAAAATTTTTAATACGTTCTTCATCTCTTTCTTTTCTTAATCTATAATAATTCAAATTCCATTATTGACACAAGGAAGGGTGCTTTGACTTGCACTTCTTGTAACAACTAATAAGCACATGCATTGCAGACATTAAAAACCAAATAACAGACTTTTTAACTTTTAAAATATCTAAGCTGGAACAAGTTTTAAACTATGACTGAACAAAGAAGTCAAATGAGATGGGACTGAAATTCAGATTATATTGGTTCCACAAAGTATTGCCAGTGATGAAAAATACAATATTAAATGGCTCTTTATTTGGCCTCAATTTCCCACCCAAACACAAGAGAGGCATCAGCTGCAGAAAGGAGTTAAGGAATAGGATAACAGTGAGAAACACCCTCTAGACTAGCAGGACTAATCCCACCAAACTTCAGTTTGCCCCAGTTCCTCATGAGCTTCTTGCTCTCACCAATAAGCCACCTCCACCTCTTCCCATCACTTCCCCTTACTCATTCAAGTCAGACCCTGGGCTCACTGCCACCCTCTCCATACTTATGCCTATCACACATCTGAGGCTCCCCTAGCTGCCCATTATCTCCCAGACTGTAACCATCATCTTGTTCTGAATCTCTGACCCAATTCCTCACATTCTCTAGCCCCCCAAGCTCTTCTTCTGTGCCATCTGAGACTCCTAAATTGTAATTAGCCAGCTCCCTTATACAGGATAGTAGGCTTACAGTTGTTCATGTGGAAAATAATACAATAATTAATCAATAATAATACAATAATGAATTCTGTATTTTTGCGTATTCACAATTGTAAGCCTACTTCTGCCCCACCCTGTATAGTCAACCTCTTAGGTGAACTTTTCCTTGACCAAATCACACACACTTCTGAGGGCACTGTAGCCCTCTCAAGTGGAAAGTATCTTTTTCACTTGTCCATTAGGGTCAGGAGACTACTTCTCACTGATGTGTACAAACTGTTCTTTACCTTCCTCCTTGAGGAACTAAACCTCCCCAAACTCTTTTCAAATGTTGATTTCCCATTATCTGCCCCCATTCATTGAAGTCTCAGCACAGTCTTTCTCACTGCCCCATTCCCGTCATCATTTGTGGAGACCTCAACATTCCCATGGATGGTCTATCTAAGAATAATCCACCCTCATCACTCCTTCTCATTGTCTCACTAGTCCCAGTCATTTATTTTGACTACACCATTTTAAAAAAATGGTCGAAAGTACCCACACAAACCACTACCTCCCATCTTCCCAGTTCACCTGCTCTTCCACCCCAGTGCAACAATCTAGACATCTAATCTTCACCTAGACCTGGTTCATAGGTGGATGCTCAACCACTGAACCACGCCAGCCGGGCTCTTACCTCGTTTAAATGCCAAGACCCATCATTATAATAATCACCCCCAAATACCTTCGACTCCTTGCCCTTCCCTCTTTCCCCTTCCATACACACCTAGGAAAAATCATTCCTGTACGGACCAAAGTAACCACCCCCATCAGAATAGAACAGCCAAGAACTGATGAAAATCATACAACCTGACCTATTGTTTTAAGTTTTCCTCACACTGTCCAGCAATTCTCCTCCATTCCCCTTATAAGTTCATTTTTAAAATGAATACCTCACACCTCACACCTCTCTCCATAAACCTCCAACACCCTCACTCCTCTCTTCATTTTTAAATGTTGACCACATCTTATACATCACGATTCAAGGAGAGGCATCCATCACACAGGACTTGCCCATTCCTCAGCATCAAACCTATACCGTCTATCTGCTCCAGCCTCGGCCCACTCCCTCTACTTGCACACTGGATCCCTTCCTCTCTAATCTTTTCCAAAACTTCAAGCCTGCATGTCTTTCTTTCCTCTGCACCGTCAGTTCTTCCCTCTCTATCGAATCATTTCCATCAATACATAAACATGCTCTTTATCTCCTATCTTTAATTTTTTCCCCTTAACTCCATATTCTCCTCCAGCTCTTCTCTTCCTCACAGCAACACATCCCAAAAGAGTTAGCTACACTCACTTTCTACCTCTCTTTTACTCTCAACCTATTCCAAACTGCTATCATCCCACAATGCCACCAAAGCTGTTCTTCAGAACCTCACTGGGCAGGAAAGGTTAATTCAGCAGCCTGGTGTTTTCAAACTCTATGTATTCTAAAGACAAAAGCGCCCTTGATTGGCTCCCAGGAGGTAACCTGTAAGCCCTTGGAACCTAAGCCCTTGGAATGTCCCATCTGGTAAGAGTATCTGTATACATAGGTGGGACTTTGAACTAAACCAGATAGTTTATGCTAACGCTGTGCTTTCTAGTGAATAAGTGTTTTGTTTTTTAAGTTTTACTTATTGATTTTAGAGAGAGAGAGAAGAGAGAAACATCAGTTTGTTGTTCCACTTACTTATGCATTCATTGGTTGATTCTCATATGTACCCTGACTGGAGATCGAACTCACAACCTTGGCGTATTGGGACAACACTCTAGTCAACTGAACTACCTGGCCAGGGCTGGTGAGTAAGTGTTTTTGCTCACCCTGTATCAGTCTGAATAGTGAAGGTCAGTCACTGTCTATGTGACTAACCCCTAATAAAAACCCTGGGTATGAAGACTTGAGAGTGACTTCCCGGGTTGGCAGTGCTTCCCAGGTATTGTCACACATCATTGCTGGGAGCGTCAAGCCCTGCCTGTACAACTCCACCAGGAGAGGACACCGAGAAGCTGGCGCCAGGTCTCTCCCGGACTCTGCCCCATCCATCTTTCTCCTATGCTGACTTTAATGTGTATCCTATCCTTTCATTATAATAAACCATAATCATGAACAGAATAGCTTTCCAGAGTCCTTTTAGCAAATCACCAAACCTGAAGATCGTCTTGGAGCCCCAACACAGCCATCAATAACCCCAGCTTCTCAATCTAATGTACACTTCTCTGTCCTCCCTACAGCACCTCTCTTCTCTCCCAAAACATTTCCCTGTTGGAGCTGGGACACACTCCAGTGGTTTTCTTCCCACTCTGGCTGTTCCTTCTCAGTCTCATTTACTGCCTTCTCCTCTCCCACCTGATACTATTAATAGATATTGCTGGCTGGAATACTAGCACTCAAAATAAATTTTGAAATCCTAATTTTTTCTGAGTTAGCAGTCAGTAAAACAAATG